GTCCTCCCTCCCTCCTGCTCCAGTCTCCTGCTCCTCCTCACTGGCTCCTATAGAAATTCCTCTAATACAGGAGCGTCTTTACACCTCGGGGCACTCGCACTACCTGTTTTGTCTATCTGGAATGTTCTTTCTCCAAATATGTGCAAAGCTCTCTCCCTCATCTCCTTTAAATATTTATTCAAAGAACAGATTCTCATTTCCTAGTCATCAGATTTAAAACTGCACGTGTCCCCTCCTCCCCAATATGTAAATCTTTTCCTTCTTTATTTTTTCTACAACACTTAATACCATCAGACATTGTACATTTAGCCTATTTATTTTGCTATTTTCTTATTTTCTTCATCAGAAGATAAGCCCCTTGGTGGAAGGATTTTTGCATGTTCCAGTAACATTTTTACCCCAACACTTAGAACAGAGCCCAATAGAGAGTGGGTGTACAATGAACATTTGCTGAATATGAGAAAATCTCCACCCTTAACAGCCAAAATAAATTAATGACAGAGTGATGACATTTATTTTCATTCACTTTGAATCTACTTGGATGAACGCTAGTGTTATTTCTTTAGTATTAGTAGGGATTTAAAACCAAAGGATCCAGATGGTCAGATATAAGAATGAAAGGCGTACAGAAATGTGATTTGAATTTGTGCCAATTTGGCAGCAACCTCTGAGCAGCTCCTTCAGTCTGTATTCTTTACAGATTCTCTATGTTATCTCCCTAAATAGTCTGCTGGCTGCTCCTTATGGAAAAAAGAAAATGATAAAGCAGTTTTCAAAATTTTAAACATTCTTTGGTGTGTGTGTCTGTTTGAGCTTACAACCAATTTGATTTTGGAACACTCACTCAATTAAGTCCTACCCAACTTTTTTCATTAGTGTTTTCATTGATATACATACAAATGATCCACTCTGTTTAAAGATCACAATCTTCAAAAACCAATTCTAATGCTGCTACGTGACAGCAGTAGAAAATAAGATACCTAAAATTTGGAAATGTTCTGCTAAATCATGAGATATGGAAAATGTAAATATTGAGGGCACTATCCACTTATAGAAATGTTTGATATTTTGGACAACATAAGATTTTAGAAGAGATTTGAAAATCTTTTAAAAAAGAAAAGAGGAGTTGGATTAACCAAGAAAGGTGTTGAAGAATAATTCCTCAATGAATTGGAAGCACTGAAGCAGCTAATTTTTGGCGTAAAAGAAATTTGGGTTTTGCAGCATTGTAAGCTGCATGTAATGACAGGAAATGTAAGAGAAAGGAATTTTGCTCCCACTAAAGAAGTTGGAGAAAGAAATTTAGATCATCAGTAAAATTTCAGTAATAAATAGGATGACATCATCTCGTAGAAATCATTTGAGAACTGAGGAAATTTTTATTTCATTTTTATGTCTGTAACAGGCTTTTATTTTTTAAAGTAAGATAATTTGTTTTTAAATGCTTGCTTTCTGAAAGCAGTAATTTGCCAATGTTGCCTGAAACAGAACAATTATAGCAAAATATCTAAGACACAAAAAACTGCTGGTTTGATTTGCGAAGATGCAGTGAACTTTCCAATTTTCTGGACCAATTAGGAGAAGAGCAAATTAAGATAATAAAAAGTCCATCTAACCTCAAGCCAGTGCTTCTTTTTATTTTATGATTTTATTTATTTTACATACTGTGTGCCCAAGGATACGTTAAGTCCATTTCATCAATTTATTATTCCATTTAGGCCACAACTCTGAAAGGTTGATCTTATATGGATGAAGTTAAGGCTTGGAGCTGTCAGAGAATAAAACTAAGCTGTTTTTTGCTTGCTGAGCAAGGGAGAGATGCAATACTCGAGAACATTCAGAAAGTTTTTCTGAAAACTCAAAAAAAAAGAAGGACCAATAGTAACGCATTCCTTATTAAATTGGATGCCATACATTACAGTTCATTTTTTCCTTTTGATTGGCTATTTTTCTGGTTTTCGTCATTAAATCACAAGCGCCAATTTCAAGGAGGTTCTATGTGGGTTATGTAAGGCTCTATAAAGAGCACACGCTTGAGATGTGGCAGGTTGTTTCCTTAAAAGAGCAGATAAATTCTTTGCCCCAAATCACTCAAATGGCAAGTTGGAGGTATTGGAATATGAAACAAAATTGTTTTATTCTGAAGTCCTTGTTTTTTGGTTGATTGTTGTTTTCCTGTGTTACCACGTTAAACTCTTGGCTTATAATAATTTTGTTTGAAAATATAATCTTGGGGCCTGCCCAGTGGCGCAAGCGGTTAAATGCGCGCGCTCCGCTGCGGCGGCCCGGGGTTCACGTTTCGGATCCCGGGTGCACACTGTCACACCGCTTGTTAAGCCATGCTGTGGCAGCATCCCATATAAAGTAGAGGAAGATGGGCACGGATGTTAGCCCAGGGCCAGTCTTCCACAGCAAAAAAGAGGAGGATTGGCATCTGATGTTAGCTCAGGGCTGGTCTTCCTCACACACACACACACACACACACACAAAATATATATATATATATATATAATCTTATTCCAAAAGAAGAGCCAGAGAACAACTTTCAGCAATTCTAGTCCTTTGTAAACATTTTATTACCAGCTTTCTCAAAAAAAAAAATAAAATAAGATAACCAAAAAGAATGAACCATGTAATAACTTTTGTTTTTTGTTATTTTTGTTCATATGCATTTGTTAAATGCATAAGAAAACATTTAAGTTAATGTGGTTTTGAGGTTTATTCTTCAAATACTGTTTGGAATTCCCCTATCAAACCGAGAGGTAGGTATTACTATTCTCATTGATAGGTGAAGAATTTGAGGCACAGAGAGTTTAATAAATTGCCCACCTTCACACAGCTAGAAAGTGTTGGATCTGAGATTTGATCCAGGTAGTCTGACTTCAAAACCATGCTCCTATCATCTGTTATGTGGCCAAATACAACACTAACTACAAAAGGCTTAGGGTACAGAAGGAAGAGTAGCTATAAATAACCTTGCTTCTAACCACAATGCCTGTAAATATGTTCATCACACAAACTTCCTACAACTTAGACATAAAATTAACTCCTGGTTCCCCATGGGTCTTCATACATGTTGAGGACTATCTATCGATATTGGTCACTCATCCAACCGAGTGTGGATTACCTCTCTTTAGATAGGCCATTTCTAAAGACTCTAATTAGTAAGAATTGATGTTCCTGCTCAAGAAGAGTTATTTGGATGGAGTGGTCTGGCTATTGGCCTCATCTATATATTTTGAAACCTTGGCTTCATCCATTGTGGCAAATTGCTTTTTGAAAGTACATCTGCTACCTGAGGCTATTGTTTATATTTTTGTATTCAAAGTTTTTAGTTATGTGGTTCAGTTCACTAGTAGAATCTACAATATTCTCTGGTGATGGTGACTTATTAAATAGGGAAGAAAATGATGTCTTTTTGCTACTACCAATGTAAATGTCTGAAGTGCCCTTCTGAGAATGAATAAGTAAAGCAAGACTAAACTAAAATGTCAGATTAAGGTGTAGGCAGAGTCTTGGAACCATTAGTAAACAAAGTGAAGTTTTTGGTTTTGTTTTTTATTGGCTTGAGATATTAGGTACAAAAGCATACACAGTACATATACTTCATTGGCACATGATCTAATCTACAGAAATATGCTTTCTCTCATGATATCCCTGTATATCATATTCCATTTTAAGTTTATTCAAAATAATGCAATAATAAAATTGGTCATTCTCTACCACCATACCCTAATGTTATTATATAGGAAAAATAGACTTTATCTATCCAAAGTAGCAGCTTAAGAAATTAACTTTATTCTCATTGGCCAGGAGTTTGAACGAAATAAAGAGCACCAGTCTGCCAAATTTCATTTTTGCCCTATTTTCAGTTTCATCTCAGTTATATTAAACTGGGTAAGAAAAAAAAATACCCTTCAAGGGCTTCCTATGAGGACATCATCCTTGTACTCTCTTGATCTGGGAAGATGTGGCTTTACTCCAGCTTTCTCTCGGTAGGTCTCCTAGTCTCTTCAAATGGCCTACTGGATAGGACCCGACACAACACTATTGGCCTTTTCTTCCATGTGGTCTACGTCTATTTCCCAGGAAACGTTTATGCATTGTCATCCTTGCAGTTATAGGGAGTATTGGCCAAGCCCAATACAGTCCATTTTACTTGCCCTTGCCCCAAAGCACCTGCACACTTGTCCTCAATTTCCCAGGCAAGAGTCAGATCCTGACCTACTGTCCTCATCTCCTTGGAGAAAGCAAACTCTCGGGTGGCTCCTGTGACATCGCCTCATGAACTTGAGGCTAGAAAGTGGCTTCCATTGTCATTTTCCCAAGTGAACATCATGGAGACTCTCAATGCAACAATGGTATCTCCAAATAAATGTCTACTCTTTTATAATCATGCAGTGAGTAAGGGTGGACAAGGATCTTGAAATAGGTTTCTTTGAAAGCCTGCATAGGAAGTTTTAGATTTTCACTTGAGAATTTTTTATCAATTGATCTTGGTGTTAGAGTGAAACTTTAATGTTAACCACTTTTTCCAATCGTTGAAAACAATATTCACTATTAAAGACAAGGGAAAGAGATGAGAGAAATTCCCTTCTTTCAGAGTGTCCATGACTCTGCATTGGCATGTTCATGTTAATTGCCTGATTTAATCATTATAACGACTCTGTGGGATTGAGAATATCATTCCCAGTTTACAGAGGAGGAAACTAAATTTCAAAGAGTAAACTTTTAAAGTCATACAGCTACTGTGGAAATGGAAATGTCTGACTGGAAAGCTCCTGCTTTTCCTGCTACAGTGCTGCAGGTAAGACGTAATGTATCTAATCACCAATGTTAGCCCACGACTGCCGGATCTATTTCTCAAATAGTTACTTTCCTTTTGTAGACTTGGATATAAAAATGTTTGAGGTCATTTCTACTACTAATGATTTTGAACACAGCACAAAATCTTAACATTGGCCAAGTCTTAAAATATATGTTTAAAATTTTTTTTTCAGACAATAGATTTTGAAGGTTTCAAGCTATTTATGAAGACATTCCTGGAAGCCGAGCTTCCCGATGATTTCACAGCACACCTTTTCATGTCATTTAGCAACAAGTTTCCTCATTCTAGTCCAATGGTAAAAAGTAAGCCTGCTCTCCTTTCAGGTGGTAAGTTTCATTATTTACTTTAAAAATTTATATATAGTATAAACTTCAAAGGGAAAATCAGTATCAAATTCTCTACAAGAGAAGAGATGATTTGCTTAAAAATTCCTTTTGTTTATACTTTCATACTAAGATTGTGCAAAGTATTTAAATGTCTCCAATATAATAATAGCTAAACATTAAAGAAAATACACTGTGTCATTATCCATCACTTGTCACTCGTTGTCTTAGAATTCTATGCGTAAGTAATAATTTTAAGAGATACTTCCATCAAGTATGGAAAAGTGCTCTTTAAATGACTGGATAATGTATATACAAAAATGTAGTCACAAAGCATTTACATCTAGAAAACATAATGTTTAATATCAATTCTACAGATTACCAATATCCTTTCATTTCACATTTTTAGATTTGTAAGCCTGGAACAGAGTTTTGGCTTTTCTCTTAGCTATTTGATTAAATTTTTGTCACCATAGAGATGATTGGTTCTCTCATTAGTGTAGCTTTTTTAGAGATGTCTAATACATTAATATCTGTTGCTAATTGTATCAGTCTCTATCCAGTTAGGAAAACAGAAATCTCACTATATTACTCTAGAGAATGTGAAATAGGAAATTGGTTAAACAGTGTTTGAGAGTTGAAAAAGCAAAGGTGAACACTGAGATAACGCAGAGATAGAGCCACAGGAAGCATATGCCGCCTCTAAGCTGAAAGAATCAAAACCCAGATGCTTGGAGGAAGGACCTCTTGGAGCTGAGATGCAGAGTTCTGAGGGGAGGGTGTTACCTGGCAGATCTCACCTTTGGACTTCTGTGGAGGGGATACTTCCTGGCTGGCTTTGGTAGCGCAGGAGCTCAAGGAGGGGCCTGCAGCCCTATCTAAGTCAGAGCTCTTAGGAGCATCACCATGGTCTGTGCAGGATCATGGTCTGTGCCTTTTTCGGTGTAGAAATAAGCTGGAGACTGGAGCCTATTGCTACTGGAAACTTGTGCTGCAAGGGTGAAATGCTGAAAAGATCTAACAGGAGGTGCCGGTAGACTAGCAGGAACCAGCCCTTCTCCTTCCTTCTCATGTCTCTTTAGCGCCGCCTGTGAACCGGACAGGTTTCCAGCTGACAATGGAGAAACATAGTCTACAGCAGCGTTTCTCAAACTCTTTGATCTCAGGACTCCTTTCGGCCCTTAAAAATTATTGAGGACCTCAAAGAGTTTTTGTTTTTGTGGGTGATAGGTATTGCTATTTACCATATTAAAGATGAGAGCTAAAAATAACGATGATCAGCTTATTACATGTTAACAAAAATAACAAACCTTTTTGAAAAATGACTATTTTCAAAAAAAAACTAGTGAGAAGGGTGTCATTGTTTTACGTTGTTACAAACGTCTTTAACATCGGGCTTCATAGAAGATAGCTGAATAACCATATCTGCTTCCATGTTGCCTTATCATATGTCATGTAGCCTCTTGAAAACTCCACTGTATACTCATGAAAGAATGAGAGCAAAAAAAAGCTAATGATATCTCAGAATCATCAGTGAAATCATTTTGACCTTACAAATCCCCCGAATGGGACCTACAGATCCCAGGGGAGCCACTGGTCTAGAGACTTCTAGCCCTAGCACCACAAAGTAGAATATCAAAGTGTGGGTAAAGAGATGAGAAGTTTAGTAACCGTCACTCTAATAAATAAAAATTTTAATACATGTAGCTAAGAAATAGGTGGTTGAGCCATAAACAAAACTTGGGCAATCTCATGGAGAGACCACACTATTAATAAGCTTTATGTAGTGCTGCTCTCCCTTCTGTTAACGAAGTAACATATTTTTCCTAAAGCAATCACATGTTGGTCCAAGCTTTTTTAAAACAAGTGTATACCTTCCACATGATATATTTTGATCTCTTCAAAATATATAACTGCTAATATGTTTATCATAATCTTTACCCATAAAATATTTTTAGTTCCTTAAATAATTCCCCTTATGTCATGAATTGAGAGGACCCGCCATACTTGCTGTTTTTCTCTGAAAGAGTTCCATTTGGTCTGTCCTTAAAGTGTCATATTAGAGTTTACGTGTGTTCTGGGCTGAATATTTTAAAATGAGACAATTCCTTATTTTGATCTAGAAATTAAAACTTCCCTGTTCACCATTTCATGCTATAAAATAACATAGTGTCCCTTATTTAATTGTGCATGAAGCAGTACTGCCCTTGGGTTTTGAGGAAGAAGAAGGGACAACACTTTTTGATGTATTGTCTGTCTGAAAAATTGTGTCAGACTTGGAGAAAAGAGAAGCATTCTAATTACTTAGGTAGTTTTGTGAGAAATTCAAATCTCAAACCCTCTTTTCTTCAAATAGCATATAGTAAGTACTACATAAAAGACGCCAAATTTACAAGAAGTAGAAATCAAATTAAGTTTCAAAATGGAAAAGAAATAAGGAATAACAGCTTGTACTTCATTTGGGACAATCACATATTCTGTACAAATCTACTTGAAAGGAATTATAAGATGGCTATGTAACAACCCTCATGCACCAATAATAAGTTAAACTGTGATTCCTTTTCAAAGCTTGGCCTCCACCTTTTAAAACATTAGGGCATAGTGTCCTTTGTAGGACTGTTTCTAACCCTATATCCTTTTCAGACTTTCCTTTGATAGTTTTTTGCTTTTTTTTTTCTGGAGAATAAGGAACCCTAGACAACAAGAAAATTTTTAAGGACTTGGAGTAGCCTTGACTCAGAAACTGAAAAATAAATGTATTTTATTTCCGGAAAGTTGCTTTGCAATAATCTAAGTTATCTACACAAGATGTATTTGTGGTTGAAAAATCACATTTTGAAAAAATGTGAAAATTGAAAAAAGAGAAAAAGCTATTTGAATAGAGAGGTGCTATAATCTGCTTTGCTTATCTCCTCTTAGAGTTCACCAAATTTCATTACCACAATACCATCAGGAATATGATAGCTATTCTTGACTCTGTGTATCAGCTGAACAATGAGGGCTTCTCAATAAAAACCAAAATTAAAATGAAAAAACTCTTATTCTTTTTAATGAACGATAATCAAGTATAGGAGATATGGTAAAAGTAAAAATTTAGTTTTTATATAATAAAAATTTTTAAAATAGTTATAAATAGGTATAAAGGGTGTATATGTGTGTGTTGTGTAGTTATGTTTTGTTGAACCTGTAATACCTAATGATCCATCTGGCATTTCATGTAGTGGATGATTTATTGTTTGGAACATTTCATTGCAATATAAGTGACTCTTACTACCTATTTAAATATAAGATGATTATTTCTACTGTTCTCAATTGGACTTTTGATTTTTGAAGATATCCCTAATGCGCTATCTCTCATAACCTCTTCTGCTTCACTGTAAATGCCAGGTACCTAATCCCTTATCTCTTTGCCAATCCAATGACCAACTTCTGATTTTACCTTCATCACTAGAATCCATCACTTGAACTACTCTCTTTACAGATTTGTTCAATCATTTGGAACCTTTCTTTTTTGCAAGTGGCTCACAAACTTTCAACCATGAATCAATATTATGATCTCATATTTCAGTCCCTACAACTTGAACCCTTAGCATAACCAAAGAGAAATTTCGTAAATACACAGATTGCTGCCACTACAAATTCCTAACACTCAGTATTAGTTTAGTCTTAACACCTCTTCAGCTTTTTAAAAAATCTATCATAAAAAAGTATTTATTCTTCCTGCTGTCTCCTAGATTAGTTAGGTTAAACTTTCCAAAACCTCTTCAGTTTACTCAAATCTTTCCCCTCTTTCTCAACAGATGACGTTTTTTCATATCATGCAAAAAAATAGACACTGTCTAATATAAAATGTCTCAATTATCCCACACATAATCCAGAACTGTTTATTCAGCTCACAGAGAATGTATATTAACTATACTCCAGATGGAGCTCTTCATCTGGGTGTCCCATAAGGAATCAAACTAAATGTGTCTAAAAGTCAAATAATTATATTCTACCCAAACCTGTTTCTATTGCTATCTACTCTCTGGGTGAATGGAACCTATGTATCTATCAATTTCCCAACCCTAAAATCTTGGACTCTTTCTACCCTTTACTGCCTCACCCGCCATGTTTGGTTAATCACAAAATGCTCTCTATTACTCATTATAACTTCTTCTCAAACATTCTGCCAGTGTCCATTTGATTCAGCGTTGTTTGTGTCATAGACTATCAGTTAGCATGGCTGACTTCCCATCTCCAAAATGTTCTTTTTAACACAGAACCCTGATTGTATTACTTCTGAGTTTCCAAGTTTCAGGTCTTCACTATCACCTTGTAGAATGTTTTTTAAACTTTTGTTTTCCAAGTAAACTGAAATCCCTGATATTTAAAACTGATTAAAGCAGAGTTGCTTTGGTGGAGGGAGGAGATGTGGAGAGAGATGAGTACAGGGAGTCCTAATCACTCTGCCTTCTCCCCACCTTTTGAGAGACTCCCTCCTGAAGTGCCCTTAATGAGACTCCAGGGCCTGGGCAATGCAGTTAAGAAGACGATAAAATCTGAGTTCCATAGCATTAAGCACAACACTATGCAGCCTATAGAGTCTGCCCACAGTCTTAATTCTCTCTGTCTCCTTGCTTCATGCACCCCAGACCCTTTTTATATCCAACTGTTTGCTGTGACCTAAACCTGCTCTGCTTACTCAGGACTCTGTGCTGTCCTACATGATATTTCCGCTGCCCTTATCTCACAGCAAAACTCAACTCCTTCAAGCCTCAGCTAACGCTTCACTCTAATTCAATAGCACGTGCTGTGTTTCATGCTAGGAATGCAATGATCAATAAGATGGGATACCTAGAGCGTGCAACTGGGAAGCAACCCTGGCACCCTTGTAAAAGCCACACCATCATCAGCTTCTTGTAGAATGGCTCGTGAATCCTGCTTTTCCCAACTCCCATCTATGCCAACTTTGCACAGAAACTCCAGGAATTAACTACCTTCAGCTAAGTTATCTTTATTTT